AATTTTGACACTGGGCTTGACAAAAGAATGGCTTGAGTAGAAATATGTCTATTTTATATTCTGCTTGTTGAATGAATGCCTCATCATTTTCTTTGCTAGAGCTGCTAAAAGTAAATTCTTCCTCAGAGTAGATTCAAAATAAAAGACCATGCTCAGCTGCATTTGAAATAAAAGATATCACGTGTAAGACTGGGGAGGGGGGAAAGGGAAGATTCCTGTGCAGCATTTTTGGTGGATAAACCCCTAGGATCCTCAAAAAAAAAAAAAAGCCACTGCCATGAGTAACCTGTTGGTAGCCTTTTACACAATTATCAGTGATAAAAACAGCAGGGACAAACCAGAGAAAATGTCAAAGAAACTCCTGGGAAACTGAGGAGCAGCAACAGTGCAGCTTTCACAGAATAAACTGTGCAACAGCCACTAAACAAAACTCACAGCTGCTCTGCAGCCCAAAGTTTTAGCTTGGACCTCAAAAATAGACTTTGTACTGAGGCTGAGTTTTGTCACCCTTATATCTTGAGCTATGTAAGAGAAAAAACTGCTGCTTTACCCAAGCCCTCTTTGCCTTTTGGAGAGTACAGAGCCAACACAGGTCAGTCTTCTTGAAATAATCAAAGCTCTGACAAATGTCTTATCCAGAGTGGTTTGAGCATCAGCTCAACAGCAGGTATTTGCTCACAGAAACTGGGCAAAGAATGTCACATTTCTTAATGTATAAATTGGTGCATATAAAGCAGCAACTGAACAAAGCATTGGAATAAAGTTTAAAAAATGACCAGTGTAAAGAAAAATAAAACTGAAATCCAACCAAATGAGCTGTTAAAGCTGAAAGTCAGTGTAAAATAAACTTATATGTGGTTGCCCCCCTGCCATAATTCCTCATGAACTGAACACATGGAATTATTTCAGCTGCTTTTTAGCAATCATCTCAGGGCAGGGGTGTGGGGGAGCTCCCAGATTCAGACAATCTGCAGAGCCTCTGTCCAGGTCACAGACACAGCACAAGCAACTTGGGGAGAACAAGCCTTATTATCATTATTATGGACAAAAGGGTTGCTCCAGAACAAGCCCTGTTTGGGTCGTTCTGAGAGACAAAAGGCAGGTTTGACCTCCAAAAATGTCAGTCTGGAACCTCAGAATTCAGAGCCACGCAGGTCAAAGGAGAAACCCAAACACCAAGGGCATATTTTGCACTGCAGATGCAGGTGGAGAATTTTTGCTGGCTCCAAAGGCCCCTGTTCATGGGCAGGCACAGGACACAGTCCTGAGAAATTCCACTCTGACCAAAAAGGTTCTGAACCTTCTCCAAGAAGGAAATACTGAGCAGCAAACATCTCTCATCCTGCAATGCCCATGCATTTTAAAGGGCATTTATGCAGCTCTCACAGGGTTAGCAAGGAATACATTTATACCCAGCAGAGAATCTGAATTAATACCTCTAAACACACACACACAATCTAATCCTTTCAACTATCACTCTCTTTTTTTTATTAGTACTCAAAGTATTCTTTGCAAGCAGCATTCCTGAATAGCAGCCCAAGAACATTTGGAATGAAATTACTTTTACTGGCTCTACAGCAAAAAACAAATGCAATTGTGTAAAGCTGCATTTGCAGCTGTTCCAAGGAGAATTAAAAACCAGTTCATAATGCAAGAGGTACTTTAATTTAACACTCAGTTTAACCATTACTTTGCTTTCATCCTGCATATTTCACACCTCTGGGCACGGCACAATTCACTGTAAGGAAAAAGAATAATAACCCACAGAAAAAGAGCTGGAGGAACTTACTTGTGAATGGTCCTTTAGAACACAATTACCTGCAAGAGAGAAATTATCACTCATAAAACTCACTCTTAGTGGATCCATCCCAGGAGGAAGAGTGATGGGAGGGGACAGTTGCACTATTTCCCTTTATTATATTAAAAAGCACCAGCTGAGCTTCCCCTGGCACTTAATGGATAGAGTCCACACAGCAGTGTCAGCAGTCAAAGAGAGCAGACCAAGTGGTTTTAATGTAAAAAAGACCAACTCTCAGATTCCTGGACAAGTTCCTACTCTCCTGTGTGGAAGGTGTTATTGCAGGCTCAGAGTTTGCTGGCCCAGCAGTCCATTTCAAACTCACAAAGGATCTCCAAGAATAAAAACAGAAAATCCACTTATTCCTTGGGGCACAGGGAGGGCTGCAAAGGTGGAAGGTGGTGTTGCATTATCCATCTCAGTCCTGGTCAGGTTGACTCTGCCAACAGAATTATTGGCCATGCCTATATAATATATTGAATCTATTTATAGAATATACCAGTGAAGCACCGGAGGATGCAGAAACAGAAAGGCACGTGCAAAATCATCCCATTCAGAGTTCATTACAGATCAGAGCAGCTCTACCTAGATTGTTTTATAATCCTAGGGCTATTCCTGTGCTCCTCTGCTGACCACAGAGCACTTGCACAGCCCTGTTATCCCCAGGGTCTGATCAGACTTTCCAAAAATGACTGCAGTAAGATTGCCTGTCTCTCACAACCTGCCACTTGCTGTCTCTGGAGCTCTCTCCAGGGGTGCAGATGGAAGCCCTGCACCTTCTCAGTGGGCTTTAGGTGAGTGTCAAGAGTATCTAAACATATTCTGGGTTTAAAATACAGAGTTCTGTTGGGAGTGTCATCCATGGAGAGGCAACGAGGGACCAGAGCTGGTGGTAACTCCTGGCCTAATGCTCTCTTAAGAGTCAGATAACTTTAGTTTGGACTTGTCAGTGGGATGTGACTGACATTGGATTCCTGCAGAAATTTCAGCAGCAGGCAGACATTGCACTGCCTTTTCTCCTGCTGAACAGGGATTTCTGAGAAAGCTACACCTGACTAATTCTAGAAGGTAAAAATTCATAGAGAAAAGGGAAAGGTTTAGATTTTTTTGTTCTTGAAACCCTACAGCACGAGCACCTATCTGCAAGTCACGACAAAATTTCTGGCCCTATTTACTTTAGGAGCTTTGCCACTGACTTTTGTGTGGAGGGAGGTGAGCCAGAAGGAGCCACTCCATTCCAGCATAAGGAATCTGCTGTGTGTTTAGATGGGTAAGGTTCTCTTGGCAGCATATCTGGTTTTTACCTGTGGCAGGGAGCTCACAGCTTCTCTAGAAGCCTGCAGAGACAGCCAGTGCTAAAGGACACATGACTGGAGCCAGCACAGCTCAGGGCAGAGTCTTCCAGTTCCAAGTCACATCCTCAGGCTGCCTCGGTTGAATTCACCCCATGAAGGTGACAGGTTGAATTTTGTTCATGGATAGACAGATGGATGTGGATATAAACCATCTATTCTGATGGGCACACCTAGGACCTCGTTCTTTGGCTGCCCACTCAAGTTTTAAAAACGTGACACTTCATCAGAGCCACCCCCTTGTTCGCTGCAGTAGAAAGCAAAGACCAAATCAAATCTGAAAGTTTTGGCTCCTGGCCATTACAAACACTAAGATCAGCATGCAAGAACAGCTAAGGAGATAAGACACCATGTGCCTCTCTCGTGGCAACTTTAATATTCAGACATCAAAACAGCGGCAGAAATCACTGACAGGCAATCAGCAAAACCCAGAGCAGTGATGAAACAATTTTCCACTTTCATGCTATCCCACTCAGAAATTAAGATCTGTTTCAAAGTTTTATAGGTGCTGGAAAAGTTGAAGGCACAGCTGATGCCCTTCTGATGCTGCCTGTCACATTTCTGTAGCCTAGAAGATAAAGACAACTATTCCCTGATCCCAAATTTCCAAAGAACGTTCAAGATGAAAGTACAAGCCTGGCACAAAAAAAAAAAAATCTCCAATTTCAGTACAGCAAGAGAACACAGTGAACTTGTGCAGGCCCTCCATTTCCATACTGGGCACTGCAGGCACACTGCAGTTATGCTTAAGTGGGCTGATTCATTCACATGAACACTGAAATGCAGACATTTTCCAGCACAATCCTACATCCTATGAAGGGCAGGCCCTCTCTCCAGAGGTGCAGAATCCCATCATGTCTTAGAGTAGGATACAAGTGTCACCAAGGCAAGACCATGGCAGAACAGTTCACAGTTGTAAAAGTTGTTCTGCCTCTAATACCCAAGTCTGACAGTCTTGAAAAAAAAACATGAAGTGAATTTGCAAACAGAACATCACCACTTCTAACTCAGGAATATTGAGGCAAATGGGCAGTAGGGATTTTCAGAGTCTATATTTTAAGTCTGGGTTGTGTTTCTTAGGACTAAATTGTCCCAAACCCTTCTTCCCAGAAGCAATGGCCAGGACACAGATCCAGTCCTCTCCCTAAACCTTTGAACTGAAGGTTCCAAGAGAGACAGCTCCTTCTCCAGCAGTGTCAGGCAGTCAGTCACAGCTGTTTCCAGAACCATGGCTGCACACATCACAGCACAACAGCTGCCTCTGGAAGGCACTACCAGCGAGGATAACTGGGGGTACAGAAAAGAATTTAATATGCTGTGTGCTTGTGTTTCTCTGGCAGAGCCCACTCACGTCTGCCACCTGGGAGGGGAGATTAAAAGGAGCAGTTCTGACATCGTCTGTCCCAGTGTGAGACAACATCAGTGAGGCTCAAGCAAAGCTGTCCTGCTTTGAGAATCCTGCTGGATTGTGAATGCAGCAAAAGCACAGCTCTGTGTGACAGTCCTGCCTGCTCACTGCACACAGTTCAGCCCCAGCACCAGGGGGACTTTCTGCCTCTCCCTCCAAGAGGATTTGGGACCCAACAGCTCCTTGCTGAGGAATTTTATCTTCATGAATGTTTGACAAAGTTGAGCTTCAGGACAACTGGGGCACTTGTCATTATTCCTGACTCTTCCAGGGCTGCATTTGCCAGGATCCTTTGGGCACGAGGAACCTTCCAGACTGCCCCAAACCCTCACAGCCCACTTGCTCTTCTTGCCACAGTTGGACCAGCTCAGTGTTCTCCACAGAAAGAAAAAATTCAATGATTCTCTCTGAAAACAGAACCTCCCTCACTTTGCTTTCCCATTCCATGTGTTGTTCCCTTGTAACCAGTTTGTGGGACTCATTCCCAGCCTCCTGAGGTTCATTTCCCACCTCACTCGTGGCTGCACTAGAGCTGCTTCTCCACACACACAGAAGGAGCTGCTGCAGCTTGTCCAGTTTCCTGCTTCTCCTTCCAACTCCTCCAGCTCTTTGCCCAGCTCTCCAGGGTCCATTCCTTTGCCCACTGGACTTGTTCCCAGCCCCAGGGCTGCCAGGGCCACCCTGGGCTCTCCCCTGCCCTCACACTGAGGGACCTTTCCCAGCCCCGAGTGCAGCCAGCACTGACCCAGCTGCTGGCAGCTGCAGTTCTCCCTGCTTGGACCAGGCTGGCAAGGATCCATGTCCAGAATAAAGACAAGCACAACAGTCATTCAAACACTACAAAATATCCTTTATTGAAGTGAGAGTTAAAAACAAAACTATTAGCAAGGAGAATCAAAAGTTAAAAAGAATACAAAAAAACTACTTTATCTATTGGTGTTCATACAATCCTACAAACAGCCTCTATTAAAGTATTAGTGTCAAGGAATTAAAGGGATCCAATATTAGCTAGTACAAAGGGAATTAAAGGGATCCAATATTAGCTAGTACAAAGGGAATTAAAGGGATCCAATATTAGCTAGTACAAAGGGAATTAAAGGGATCCAAGGAAAAGGATGTGAAGTGTTTGCTTTCTGGGTTCTTCCTCTCACTAAACTGTGCTCCCCTGCACAGACAGGCCAGGGCTCCCAGGCTCTGCAGGGCTGGGCGGCACTCATGCTTAGCGGGCGTCCCCGCCAGCAACACAGTGTCGATGGAAGGATGAGCATCGCTCCAGCCAGCAGTCCTGACACCCCATGGATCAGCTCCACATTACACTACGTAGGGCCAGGACGTAGTATAAGGTGATGCTGGAGTGGCAGCCAAACAGCGCCCGTTCATCACCTCATGGCAACAGTCTGTGCGTGCCCCACTGCAGGGCAAGGGGCAACCACCCACGAGAAGTGGCAGAGCCAGAGCTCTCCTCAGGGAATGCCTGAGCTGCCTAAAGGCTGCCCTTGCACCATCTATCCAAGGCAGCAAACTCTTACAGGGGGTTTCCAAAGTTTGCATCAGTCTTACCACACATCCAGAGGGAGCAATGCAGAGTCCTCACCATCCTCCCATTCCCAGGAAGGCACTTCATGCACTGCCTGTGGCTCAGGGACGACTCAGGTGGCTTAGGGAGGACTCAGGTGGCTTCTTTTCTTCTTTCCTCATTTCTGCATTTTCTCCTTCAAAAGCAAAGGTTTCTTGCCTTACCTTCCTCCTGGAAATGCAGTAAAAGGCATCTTGAAATCTACTACTGGCATTCTGATTTTAAAGGATACTGGGGTTGTCTTACCCATACAGATCCCAGCTTAGGGCTAATACCTACAGGGTCTGTCCTGGTCCATTCTCCTGGAATTCCACTGGCCCACACCACAGGAACAACTCCATCTGCCACTTCAGTCAGGACGGTGCTGCTGACAGGAGTTATTTCCTGCACGAGAAGAGCTGCTGCTCTCACACAGTTAGTTTCAGCAATTACAATTTCAATCTCCCCATTGTCCAATTTCATTTCTGCCTGAACTGTTCCAACCAATCTCTTCTGGCAGTGGCTTGGGTAATTTTGGCAAACAGACAAACTAAGGAATTCCCCAAGGTTTTCCCACTTTAACCCCTGTCACACCAATCACCTTCACAGTGCCATCCCTTAATTCTGCCTCTGTTGTGTTAAGGGCTGAGGAAGCTGGACCTGTGTCTGACCAGCACATGTGCAAACCAAATGCTGGGGACTGGAACCCACACCTTGCACTCCTGCAGCTCTCACAATTCCACTCAAGACAAAACACCCAATGGTACCATCACCACTCATTCCTTAATCCCAATCCCACACTTCTTTTGCACTCCGAGCACCACTTTTAGAACCCAATTACAGCCCATTCCAGAGCTCCATGGCCAGGACAGACAGCTACACCTCTGATCCTCTCAGGAATGCCTCAATCCATTGCAGGGACCTTGCTTGGAGCTCCCCAGCTTGGGGCACCCAGAGGAGCTCCCCGAAGAATCCTTTGGGTGCGCGCTCGAGTCCTCGGGGTGCCCCAGCCCGGGGGGCACCAACAGCACTGTCCCTCCAGGGGCCCAATCTGCTCCCAAAAGGCAGGGGCATCGTGCCCGTGTCCCACACTGCTCCGGGGATCTGAGGGCCTTCCCGAGAACACCTCGGTGCCGGCGTGAAGGCCCAGAGATCCCTGGGAACCACGGGACAGCAGGCACAGAGTCCCTGCTGGGGCCCATTTGGCTGCCTGAAAGCAGCTCGGCAAAGAAGCCTCTCACACTCAGCTGGGCACTTTTACAAGCCAGGCATTCCTTGCTGACAACACCCTGCAATCATCCCAGCCCAGCGCCTGTCCTGGCCATCAGCTCCCACAGTGCACACAGAGGGGTCTCCACTGCAGCTGATTGAACCCTCATGTACTGATGCCCTTTTTCATTCCCGGCATTCCAGTTCTATATCCAGGGCATTCTCCAACACTTATTACCATCCACACCTACCTTGTAAGGTTTCTGAGAGGCTTCTCCAAGGGGCTTCCACGGTCTTCTCTGTCTGGAGTCCCCAAAGTCCCAAGAGCCTGCCTGAGGAACCTCAAGACAACTCACCTGCTCACAGAGGAACTTGGTGCTGCTTGGCTGCTGCCTCACTTCCCTTCTTCCTTCTTTCTTCACCTCCCTGGGTGAGTCCCTTTCAATCCCCTGGCTCGGCTCTCTGCACTTTCCATGCCACAGCCCCCTGCAAAAAGTATCAGCTCTTGTTACACCTCAAAAACCAGACAGCATCCCCCCTGTTCTCCTGACACTTGGCCATTAGGCCAAAGTCTCCTTCTTTAAAGCACAGTTGGACTCCTGACTGACTACAACAGCTACAGCCCTGAATCATAACACAGGCTGAGGGACAAACACACAGGAGAACTTGGAAGGATCCACTTTGTTCTGCTGACCAATTCCAAGGAGGTTTCCTAACCCAAGAGAAAGATGCCCAAGGTCCCTTTTGTGCCACTTGAACTGCTAGAAATGGAATCAACCAGGCCTGCAAAGGCCCTTTCCACTTCACCTGCAGGGGCTGGCAGTCCCACCACTTGACAGGGACCCAAGGGCTGGGCAGGAACGCACGGGCTGGGGGCGTCCAATCCATCGGCCGAGGCGTCACCGTCAATTCCTGCAGTTCCTGCAGGGCACATCCTAAAGCCAGCAAACAATTAGCAAGACCATTTTGGTCTTCAATGTCAACATTCCCTACAAGATGGGGAGCTTGATAAGGCCTCCTGGTGCAACAAGGACAGACTTATGGCCACCTATTCAAAGCATCTACTAGCACTGAAAAGGTATCACTGTCCTCCTGCCAGGGCTAACTCAGCAAACCCTGTTTGCCAGGAGCCTCCAGGAGGATTGCCAGCTTTTGGGGCTCTCTTTTTTCCCCACAGCTGGAGCTGGGACTATCACCTGCTCTACAGGGGGAATAGCCCAGAAAGTTCACTGGGAGGGATGCCAGTCACTCCAAGGCCCTTGTCAGGGCTGCTCTCTGCACACCTTGTCCTTTGTTTTCCCTCCCAAACAGTTCAGAGAGATGTGGCAGAGCCAGAGCTCTCCTCAGGGAATGCCTGAGCTGCCTAAAGGCTGCCCTTGCACCATCTATCCAAGGCAGAAAACTCTTACAGGGGGTTTCCAAAGTTTGCATCAGTCTTACCACACATCCAGAGGGAGCAATGCAGAGTCCTCACCATCCTCCCATTCCCAGAAAGGCACTTCATGGACTGCCTGTGGCTCAGGGAGGACTCAGGTGGCTTCTTTTCTTCCTTCCCCATTTCTGCATTTTCTCCTTCAAAAGAAAGGTTTCTTGGCTTGCTTTCCTCCTGGAAATGCAGCAAAAGGCATCTTTTAAATCTACTACTGGCATTCTAATTTTAAAGGACACTGGGGTTGTCTTACCCATACAGATCCCAGCTTAGGGCTAATACCTACAGGTTCCGCCCTTGTCCATTCTCCTGGAATTCCACTGGCCCACACCACAGGAACAACTCCATCTGCCACTCCAGTCGGGATGGTGCTGCTGACAGGAGTTATTTCCTGCACGAGAAGAGCTGCTGCTCTCACACAGTTAGTTTCAGCAATTAGACTTTCCATCATCTCCCCATTGGTCAATTTAATACCTGCCTCAACTTTTCCAATCAATCTCTTCCCAGCTAAAGCTTAGGAGAGCTTGCAAATAGACAAACTGAGGAATTCCCCAAGGTTTTCCCACTTTAACCCCTGTCACGCCACAAACCCTCACAGAGCCATTGCTCAATTCTCCCTTGGTTGTGTGAGGGGTGGAGGAAGCTGGACCTGTGTCTGACCAGCACATGTGCAAACCAAATGCTGGGGACTGGAACCCACACCTTGCACTCCTGCAGCTCTCACAATTCCACTCAAGACAAAACACCCAATGGTACCATCACCACAGCCCCCAAACCTGCCCAGGCTCCAGCTGCTGCACACACCTGGTGTTTTGCCAACAGGCAGGGCACTCCAGGAAACAACTCCTCCCCAGGCACAGGATAACAGGAACAGTTCAAACAAGCACAAGCCAACAACACCCGACACAGATTTACGGTACACAAAAGAAACGGAGCAAGGCATCAAATCCTGACTGCCCCCAGAGACAGAACTGGGGCTCAGCACAAATCCCTCCCCCACGGCCCCCTCACGCTTGGGGATCAAGTCAAGTCTTATGGAGCCACCCTCGAGGGGGGCAGGTAAACATGCCCTGCCTGCCCTGCCCAGGGACAGGGAACTGAGCCCAGTGTTCCTCGGCACAAGGCAGCCCTTGGAAATATCCACTGCCATTCCACAGCCAGGCACAGCAACAAGCACTCCACAAGGCTGCTTGGGCACAGCACCAATCTGAAGCTCAGCTTTTCTCTGTTCCACTTCACCTTGTTTGCCACCTCATCCTGTCATCAAAACTTGCTGTCCTTGCACCTTTTTAGGGTCACCATCAGCTGAAGAGGCCTCCGCTCCAGCACCCACAAGGGCCTGAGCCCTTGGACAAGATCCATTTTCCCAAGGAATTCAAAGCTCCACCTGAGGGCCACGGGCTTTTCTCACCCACCCTTGTGCTGGAGCTCGGCCTTCATCTCCCTGTGCCTTGGGTTCTTGCAGTGGCTGCCCCATTTGCAGCCCTGCCCTGGCCGGAGCTCGGCATCCTGATCCCATCCCTGCCGGCCCCCGGAACCGCTGACTCGGCAATGGGGGGCCCTCCATTGCCAAGTGCACGGTCCCGTCGGGGCTCACGGGGGGAACAGGAGGTCCAAGGGCTCCAGCCCTCCTGGGACAACCTCCCACCACTGCAGCCAACAAAGGAGCCTCTCCAGCCCTGCCTCCCAAGGCATCCTGAACAAACCCAGCCCAGCTCCACGGGACAAACTGCTCCCTGTCTGCCCAGTCCAATCTGAGCCCAGAGGCTCCCAGCTCATGCAGCCCAACTGCCCAGGAGATCACAGACTCTCTGGCCTCTGCTTTAAACCTCTCCACAGCACCAGCAAGTTCAGGCTGAGTAAAATCCTCCACCACATCAGGCCTGATGGGAGAACCAGCGGGGTCACCTTCCCCTTTCCCTCCTGTTATTGGCTGTGCTTCAGCAAACACTTCCCCTCTGAACCACGCTCTAAAGCAGCTCAATCCCAAGCATCTCCACCCCAGTTCTTGCGATCCCAACCTATCCCTGCCTCTGCACTCACAGCATGCACTGGTTTACTTGACCCCTTGGCTTCCCATATTTATATTGGGCTACCTGGAGAGTCACTTCTGCTCCTGTTTGACAAGTGTCCAACCTGGCCCTGCATAGGCCACAACTGTTTTCCACTGGCCCACACCACAGGAACAACTCCATCTGCCACTCCAGTCGGGACGGTGCTGCTGATAGGAGTTATTTCCTGCACGAGAAGAGCTGCTGCTCTCACACAGTTAGTTTCAGCAATTACAATTTCCATCTCCCCATGTTCCAATTTCATTTCTGCCTCAACTTTCAAACCAATCAATTCCTGGCAGTGGTTTGGGTAATTTTGGCAAATAGACAAAGTGAGGAATTACTCATTGTTTTCCCAGTTAAACCCCTGTCACACCAATCACCTTCACAGTGCTATTCCTTAACTGTCCCTCTGTTGTGTTAAGGACTGACGAAGCTGGACCTCTGTCTGACCAGAAGGTGTGCCAACCACATGCTGGGGACTGGAACCCACACCTTGCACTCCTGCAGCTCTCACAATTCCACTCAAGACAAAACACCCAATGGTACCATCACCACTCATTCCTTAATCCCAATCCCACACTCCTTTGCAGTCAGAGCACCACTTTTAGAACCCAATTACAGCCCATTCCAGAGCTCCATGGCCAGGACGGACAGCTACACCTCTGATACTCTCAGGAATGCCTCAATCCATTGCAGGGACCTTGCTTGGAGCTCCCCAGCTTGGGGCACCCAGAGGAGCTCCCCCAAGAATCCTTTGGGTGCGCGCTCGAGTCCTCGGGTGCCCCAGCCCGGGGGCACCAACAGCACTGTCCCTCCAGGGGCCCAATCTGCTCCCAAAAGGCAGGGGGATCGTGCCCGTGTCCCACACTGCTCCGGGGATCTGAGGGCCTTCCCGAGAACACCTCGGTGCTGGCGTGAAGGCCCAGAGATCCCTGGGAACCACGGGACAGCAGGCACAGAGTCCCTGCTGGGGCCCATTGGGCTGCCTGAAAGCAGCTCGGCAAAGAAGCCTCTCACACTCAGCTGGGCACTTTTACAAGCCAGGCATTCCTTGCTGACAACACCCTGCAATCATCCCAGCCCAGCGCCTGTCCTGGCCATCAGCTCCCACAGTGCACACAGAGGGGTCTCCACTGCAGCTGAGGGGAGGGATCAGCATTACAGGAGGGGTCACTTTGTTCCCTGTATCTCTGTTCCACACTCAGGACATTTCCCAATACCTGTTCCCATACACACATCCCCTTAGAAGGTCTCTGAGTGGGGGTCTCTGGTGGTCACCAGTGCCTGGAGCCCCCAAAGTTCTAAGTCACCACCTTATCAGCTTCAAACAGTTCACCTGCTTACAGAGGAACTTGGTGTTGCTTGGCTGCTGCCTCAGTTCTCTTCCTCCTTGTTTCTTTCCTTTGCTTCCTTAGTCCCTTTCAATCCCTTGACTCAGCTCCATGGAGTTTCCAGGGCACATCCCACTGCACAAACTACCAGCTCTTGGTCCACTTCCACACTCAGATATCAGGGAGAGGGGCAGAAATCAACTAATGCAGGGCACTACCTCCAAATATTGGGACAAAAACACCACAACATTCCATGGCCTCCCTTGGGAAATAAACACCAAACTGCTCAGACACAAACAAACACCTGCACACTACAACAATCTGCCACTCTTGCTTCAACCCAGACAAGTCAGGGGGGAAATTACACAAGTGCAACTTTTCCAAGTTTCAGGGATGATACAAAAATCAGGGAGATCAGAGACTACCCCAGACAGTTCTACCTGGAGGACAGAAGGACACCAAAGCCATCCCCAGTGCTGCAATCCCTCAGGCTCCCAAAAAGGCCCAGGGGCTGCCCTGGAGCACAGGCAGGAACGCGACGTCACCACCCCACGGGCACAGCTGAGAACCCAAAGAACAGCCACACCAGCAGCTCCTGCAAGCCCTGCTGGGCTGGGCATTGGGCAGGAAGGGCACTGGCCTCTCTTCCTGCCCAGGAGGAAAAAGCCTCCTTGCTGAGCCCTTCTCCTGCCAAGGGCATCAGCTCTGAAGGGAACTTCATCAAGGGCAACTTCTCACACTGACAAAGATTCCTCTTCCCTGGAAAATCTCTTCCCAACTGAACACACAAGCCCACACTAGAGCTTCAGGTGTCGCCTACAATTTCCTACAAGAACCCCTAAGACTCAACTGGTGAGTTTTACAAGCCAGGCATTCTTTTATTCCTATGCTCTTGAATCATCCCAGCCCAGCGCCTGTCCTGGCCATCAGCTCCCACAGTGCACACAGAGGGGTCTCCACTGCAGATGAGGGGAGGGATCAGCATTACAGGAGGCTTCACTTTGTTCCCTGCATTCCTGTTCCACACTCAGGACATTGCCCAGCACTTATTACCATACACACCTACCCTGTAAGGTTTCTGAGAGGCTTCTCCAAGGGGCTTCCACGGTCTTCTCTGGCTGGAGTCCCCAAAGTCCCAAGGGCCTGCCTGAGGAACCTCAAGACAACTCACCTGCTGACAGAGGAACTTGGTGCTGCTTGGCTGCTGCCTCACTTCCCTTCTTCCTTCTTCCTTCACCTCCCTGGCTGAGTCCCTTTCAATCCCCTGGCTCGGCTCTCTGCAGTTTCCATGCCACAGCCCCCTGCAAAAAGTATCAGCTCTTGTTACACCTCAAAAACCAGACAGCATCCCCCCTGTTCTCCTGACACTTGGCCTTTAAGCCAAAGTCTCCTTCTTTAAAGCACAGTTGGACTCCTGACTGACTGCAACAGCTACAGCCCTGAATCCTAACACAGGCTGAGGGACAAACACGCAGGAGAACTTGGAAGGATCCACTTTGTTCTACTGACCAATCAAAGGAGGTTTCCTAACCCAAGAGAAAGATGCCCAAGGTCCCTTTTCTGCCACTTGAACTGCTAGAAATGGAATCAACAAGGCCTGCAAAGGCCCTTTCCACTTCACCTGCAGGGGCTGGCAGTCCCACCACTTGACAGGGACCCAAGGGCTGGGCAGGAACGCACGGGCTGGGGGCGTCCAATCCATCGGCCGAGGCGTCACCGTCAATTCCTGCAGTTCCTGCAGGCCACATCCTAAAGCCAGCAAACAATTAGCAAGACCAGTTTTGCCTTTCATGTCAATATTCCCTGCAATATGGGGAGCTTGATAAGGCCTCCTGGTGCAACAAGGACAGACTTATGGCCATCTATTCAAAGGCTCTACTAGCACTGAAAAGCTATCACTGTCCTCCTGCCAGGGCTAACTCAGCAAACCCTGTTTGCCAGGAGCCTCCAGGAGGATTGCCAGCTTTTGGGGCTCTCTTTTTTCCCCACAGCTGGAGCTGGGACTATCACCTGCTCTACAGGGGGAACAGCCCAGAAAGTTAACTGGGAGGGATGCCAGTCACTCCAAGTCCCTTGTCAGGGGGGCTCTCTGCACACTTGGTCCTTCGTTCTCCCTCCCAAACCAAGGGGCTTCAAACAGTTCAGAGAGATGTGGCAGAGCCAGAGCTCTCCTCAGGGAATGCCTGAGCTGCCTAAAGGCTGCCCTTGCACCATCTATCCAAGGCAGCAAACTCTTACAGGGGGTTTCCAAAGTTTGCATCAGCCTTACCACACATCCAGAGGAAGCAATGCAGAGTCCTCACCATCCGACCATTCCCAGGAAGGCACTTCATGCACTGGCTGTGGCTCAGGGAGGACTCAGGTGGCTTCTTTCCTTCATTCCCCACTTCTGGATTTTCTCCTTCAAAAGCAAAGGTTTCTTGGCTTGCCTTGCTCCTGGAGATGCAGCAAAAGGCATCTTGAAATCTAATACTGGCATGCTGATTTTAAAGGATACTGGGGCTGTCTTACCCATACAGATCCCAGTTTAGGGTTAAAACCTACAGGTTCTGTCCTTGTCCATTCTCCTGGAATTCCACTGGCCCACACCACAGGAACAACTCCATCTTCTGCCACTCCAGTCGGGACGGTGCTGCTGACAGGAGTTATTTCCTGCACGAGAAGAGCTGCTGCTCTCACACAGTTAGTTTCAGCAATTACAATTTCAATCATCTCTCCATTGTTCAATTTAATACCTGCCTCAACTTTACCAGCCAATCTCTTCCTAGAAAAGGTTTAGGGGAGCTTGCAAATAAACAAACTGAGGAGTTACTCATTGTTTTCCCAATTAAACCCCTGTCATGCCCATCACTTTAACAGTAATTGGTTAACTAATTGGTTAATTAAGCCAGCCCTTAATTCTCCCTCTGCTGTGTTAAGGGCTGACCAGGACATGTGCCAACCAAATGCTGGGGACTGGAACCCACACCTTGCACTCCTGCAGCTCTCACAATTCCACTCAAGACAAAACACCCAATGGTACCATCACCACTCATTCCATAATCCCAATCCCACACTTCTTTTGCAGTCCGAGCACCACTTTTAGAACCCAATTACAGCCCATTCCAGAGCTCCATGGCCAGGACGGACAGCTACACCTCTGATCCTCTCAGGAATGCCTCAATCCCTTGCAGGGACCTTGCTTGGAGCTCCCCAGCTTGGGGCACCCAGAGGAGCTCCCCGAAGAATCCTTTGGGTGCGCGCTCGAGTCCTCGGGGTGCCCCAGCCCGGGGGGCACCAACAGCACTGTCCCTCCCGGGGCCCAATCTGCTCCCAAAAGGCAGGGGCATCGTGCCCGTGTCCCACACTGCTCCGGGGATCTGAGGGCCTTCCCGAGAACACCTCGGTGCCGGCGTGAAGGCCCAGAGATCCCTGGGAACCACGGGACAGCAGGCACAGAGTCCCTGCTGGGGCCCATTTGGCTGCCTGAAAGCAGCTCGGCAAAGAAGCCTCTCACACTCAGCTGGGCACTTTTACAAACCAGGCATTCCTACACACTAAGATATTTTAAGATCTTACTGACTGAAAACACAGAAAACTTTTGTCATGGCCACATGACCTCCCACAGACAGCTCCTTTCCCCTTCCAGCACAAAATTAGTTTCATGGTATCATTTAATAGGAAGTGCCCAGGAACCCCAGCCTCTGCTTTCCAGGACAGAAAATAAACAGGGGGAAGGAGCTTTGCACAAGTGTAACACACTCCAGAACAGACCTGACTTCAGCTTTACTCTTTGTGTTCAAATATTCCATGGAACAGCTCCAGCAGGAGAGCTGGCACATTACCCAGGGTACCTGAAAGCCCATCCTTTGAGGGCTGTAGGAAAATCGCAGTGGGACAAGCTCCTTGTGCCTGCACATGCCTGGGGATCCTTTCCATCCACCCCGTGCTCTCCCAACAGGAGAAACAGTGACCTCGGGGACACGGTGGCACTCGACATCCTGCTGAGAGAGGAGGAAGGAAACCTTTAGCATAAAGCTGAGTTGGAACCTCGAGCTTCCTTTCCCAGGAGCTTTGTGCAGTCTGCAAACAAGGAGGAGGAATTTTCATCTCCTTTGGTGCAGGTGTCAACAGAGGCTGAGAGCTTTTGCCTTTTTCAGACAACTGTGCCCTTTTGGACTCCCTACAAGTTCAAGTGGCACCAGAAAGCCCTTCCTGCAGACACACGGGTGTCACACACAGGCACCCACACACCTTTTCTGCAGCTCACACGTGGCCAAGATTTCCTCACCCTGTGGACATCCCACCCTGTGTAGTTTTGCCAAAGAGCACAGCACCCTCCCTGTCCTTGCAAACTGCCTCCCTGCAAAAAAGAGCAATGTTTCCTGGACACTTCTCCCATAGTCAAGGTCTTTTGAAGCTGCTGTCGTGCCACCAAACCTGGTCCCTCCTGGCTTCTGCCTCTCCTTGGATTTAGAAGGCACATGCACATTCCAGCTTCCAACAGCAACACCCAGTTCCTCACTGGGAGCATCAGCCCTGCTCTTACCGGTACAAACTCCCAGGCTCGGCACAGCTGTGGTCGCAGAGCAGCTTTCCAAGGTCCTTCTCTCTCCCAGCAGGAAGCACAACTCGCCACACTCTGCCAGCACCAGGGGAAACCACAAGGGAAGCTGGAAACTGACACAGAACAAGGAAAGAACGTGAGCTCGGCACCAGAAAACCAAGTTAGAGTAGCCTTTCCCTCTTAGCCCTGCACGGGGAAAGGTTTTAGAGTTCCAAGGCAAACCTGATAGACCAAGAGAGCAACAGCCCCTCAGCCCCGCCACGGCTCCCCCCGGGGCTCCCCGGCAGGGAACGGGCTTACCCAGCCCCCGCAGCCCAGCACAGCGGCCCCAAACACCGCCCCCCTGCCCCGTTCCACGGGCACGGATGGGAATTCTGCAGACGAGCCGTGCCTGGCAGACAAATCCAGCTCGTGCCCGCTGCGAGGGCTGGCCCGGAGCTGCTCCATCCCTGCTGCCACGAGCTGTGCTGGCAGTGCCGCGGCTGCGGGTGGGATTCCCCCAGCTCCGGACGCTCCGGAGCAGGGCAGTGCAGGGCACGGCTCCTCCGTCCCCTGCCAAGAGGAAGCGCAAGGAGGGCCGGCTCGCTGCCTGCTGCTCCGTCCTCCTGCCGGCCCGCCTGCCCTGCCCGGCTGCTCCGGAGCGCACAGGGACGGGGCAGGAAAAGCTCCCCGAGCACGGCAAGCACGAGTTCGTGCCCGTCCCCAGCCGGGCACAGCCCAGCCGGCCGCGCTCCCTCCGGCCCGGGCCTGCCAAGGGCTCGTGGAGAGGAGCGAGAGCTGCCCACATTGAATAAAGGCGCATTTGCCGACAGCATTTCCCCGCGCTCCTTGCCTCCTGTGACTCGCGCCGCAGCGTCCGCTCGGAGCATTTGTGGGTTTCCTCTCCTGTAGCCCTTTCCCGGCCAGGCAGGACCCTGTCCGTCTGCAAAGAAAGATGCAATCTTTCGGTGGGATTTTTCAAAGCAGAGGCTTTGCCGCGGGAGGGGGCGAGTTCCAGAGAAAGTGGGGGAGAGGAAGGAGAGCCTCAGGTCTCACCTGGCAGCTGTCAGATGAGCTGCAGCTTCTGGATCGTAGGCCAAAGAATCGCTGTGGGAAATTGCGGCCGTTGCGAAGGCAGAGGCGGGCCCAGCCTGTGCCCGAGCCGCGGCACGGTCAGCGCCAGCTCCTGGGACTGCCTGTGGACAGACACAGGGACACGGGGACAGGCGGGCAGCTCCGCTCGGGGTCCCGGAGCACGGGAGGAAGGAGGAAAGGAAGCGTTCTTCCCTGCCCCGGCACGGGCCCCGGCTCCCCACGGCCGGAGCGGGCCCGTGCCCGGAGCCCCGGCGGGCCCCAGATCCCCCGTTCCCGGGGGCACTGCGGGCGGGAAGCCCGCGGCATTGCGGCCGCGGAGAAGGGGCAGGCGGGCGGTGTTCTCTCCGGGGGATGCGCTGGGGCCGGGGGTGCCCGAGCCGGGGGGGCTCTGACCCCGCGGGGGGGCGCGGGCGGCGCTGGGGGCCCGGCGAGTTCGGGGGGTCCCGGGGCGGGCCCGGCGCGTCCCCACGAGGACGGACGAGGGAAGCGCCGCCGTTCTCCCGGCCCCGGGCCCCGGCAGAGCCCCGGCCCGAGCGGCCCCGCCCGCCTCGGTCCCAGCGACCGCCCCGGAACGGCTCCTGCCGGCCACGCCGGGGCAGATACGCCGGTCCCGGTGCCCATCGTGCTCCCGAGCCCATTCCCAGCCCCAAGCCAACCTCGCTCCTCCGCTGGCGGTCCTGGCGCCGGTCCTGGTCCCCAGTCCCGGTCGCCATCCCGATGCCGGTCACCATCCCGATGCCGAGCCCCGTCCGCAGCCTCGCTCCTCCGGTGCCGGCCCCGCTCACGGCCCGGGCTCGGCGCAGCGCCGGGAGCTGCCCCCGGGCCGTGAGCGCCGCTCGGTCCGTCCGCGCCCCGGGACGAGCGTCCTCCACAACAGCGGGGCGAGCGCGGTTCTGCCGCTTTTGAGCGGCGCGGCCGGGGCAGGGCCGGGGCGGGCGGGCCCGCACAGGTGCGCGGGGCGGGGACGGGCGGGGGGGGCGGTCGGAGCGGGGTATTTAAGGTCCGGCACTCGCTGCTGATTCCATTTGCTCGGGCAGTGCGTGGGAAGCAGCATCGCTGCTGGGGTTTCTTTCTGCCGCGGCTATTTTTGTGGTTGCTTTGGTTTGTATCTTGTCTTTTACTTTTGCTTTTCTTTTCTTTTATTTTTTTGTTCGTGTCCTTCCCAACACAATTGTTATCTATGCTCTGTTTCTGCCTGTGGAGACACCGCAAGTCCCCCAGTTCTCGTTCCTGCTCCTTTGTTCTCAGCCCTCTCTGGTTCCTCACCCTGCAAGCTCTTACCTTCTCTCTGTCTTCTGCTGTACACCTTGGTCTTCCTTACCCTGTTTCTTTTTTTGCCATGCTGGCGGTTCCCGTATGCCGCCTCCTCCTGGCTCCTGTTGCTGCCCTCCTGCACACCCGGTTCCTCTGGCTCCTCTAGCTTTCCCTTCCTCCCCCATCCCTGCTTCACTGCATACCCCAATCCCCCACTCTCTCCTCTGTCCCTCTTCAACTTGTGTGCATATTAACACTTTTTATTCTTTTTCTAAAGAAACAGTGAAGTGGGGAACTTGGGTAGTAGTCAAGCAATGCCCAGTTATTCTACAACCAGGTAAAGTGACTTGAAGTTGATAATGTGGTCACTTAAAACTTTGGGGCTCAAGGCACAGGTGTCCACCAGAGACCCCTGATGGAGCTCTTCAGAGACCTTATGAAAGTTTGTGTATATGGGAACAGGTGTTGGGGAATGTCCTGAGTGTGGAACAGGAATGCAGGGAACAAAGTGAAGCCTCCTGTAATGCTGATCCTCCCTTCAGCTGCAGTGGAGACCTCTCTGTGTGCACTGTGGGAGCTGATGGCCAGGACAGGTGCTGGGCTGGGATGATTGCAGGGTGTTGTCAGCAAGGAATGCCTGGCTTGTAAAAGTGCCCAGCTGAGTGTGAGAGGCTTCTTTGCCGAGCTGCTTTCAGGCAGCCAAATGGGCCCCAGCAGGGACTCTGTGCCTGCTGTCCCGTGGTTCCCAGGGATCTCTGGGCCTTCACGCCGGCACCGAGGTGTTCTCGGGAAGGCCCTCAGATCCCCGGAGCAGTGTGGGACACGGGCACGATGCCCCTGCCTTTTGGGAGCAGATTGGGCCCCCTGGAGGGACAGTGCTGTTGGTGCCCCCCGGGCTGGGGCACCCCGAGGACTCGAGCGCGCACCCAAAGGATTCTTCGGGGAGCTCCTCTGGGTGCCCCAAGCTGGGGAGCTCCAAGCAAGGTCCCTGCAATGGATTGAGGCATTCCTGAGAGTATCAGAGGTGTAGCTGTCTGTCCTGGCCATGGAGCTCTGGAATGGGCTGTAATTGGGTTCTAAAAGTGGTGCTCTGACTGCAAAAGAAGTGTGGGATTGGGATTAAGGAATGAGTGGTGATGGTACCATTGGGTGTTTTGTGTTGAGTGGAATTGTGAGAGCTGCAGGAGTGCAAGGTGTGGGTTCCAGACTCCAGCATTTGCTTTGCACATGTGCTAGTCAGACACAGGTCTAACTTTCTCAGTCCTTAACACAGCAGAGGGAGAATTAGGGCTGGCTTAATTAACCAATCACTGTTAAGGTGATGGGTGTGACAGGGGTTGAAGTGGGAAAACATGAGGTGGTTCCTCAGTTTGTCTATTTGCAAGCTCCCTTAAATCTCTGCTAGGAAGAGATTAATTGGAAAAGTTGAGGCAGAAATGAAGTTGGAACATGGGGAGATTGAAATTGTAGTTGCTGAAACTAACTGTGTGAGAGCAGCAGCTCTTCTCGTGCAGGAAATAACTCCTGTCAGCAGCACCGTCCCGACTGGAGTGGCAGATGGAGTTGTTCCTGTGGTGTGGGCCAGTGGAATTCCAGGAAATGGACCAGGGCAGAACCTGTAACAATTATCTCTAAGCCAGAGTCTGTACTGGTAAGGCAAACACAGTATCCTTTAAAATTAGGAAACCAGTTTGGATCAGTTCCTGTGACAGCCAAGTTTGGTAATTGTGGTTTGCCTGTGGAATGGGAATGCGAGAACCTGTAAAGAAAGGAAATGGGAAAGAAGATTGTTTCCTGGGAGCAGGAGCTGCCAGACACTGACCCTGGATGTTTGGTTGTGGTTGGGAACGACCTCCCCATGGTTGTCTGTGCTGGGTGTGGGTTTGGGTCCTGTCTGGCCACAGGTCTGTGCAGCAGCTGGAGCCTGGGCAGGTTTGGGGGCTGTGGTGTTCCAGCCTCTGAAGTTTGTTGTCGCTGTTTCCTTTCAGTGGCCAAATGTCCCTGCTTGGCTGTTTGTTGCGCTGCAGCCAGAAGAGCCCAGCCCTGCGATGGCCCAGCATTGGTGTGACCCACAGTGGGTGTCACCTGCCCTTGGGGCAGTGCCCAGAACTCCCTTTGCCATCCCTGCTGCAGGGTGGGAGCTGCACAGAGCCAGCAGCGTCCAGCTGGAGGATCCAGGAGGATGCAGCTCTGCTTTTCTGGGAGGTAAGAGGTGGGGGTGCTGGAGCTGGAAGGGGAGTTTTCCAGGCAGAGGGAGGGAGGGAGCAGGGAGAACTGCAGCTGCCAGCAGCTGGGTCAGTGCTGGCTGCACTCGGGGCTGGGAAAGGTCCCTCAGTGTGAGGGCAGGGGAGAGCCCAGGGTGGCCCTGGCAGCCCTGGGGCTGGGAACAAGTCCAGTGGGCAAAGGAATGGACCCTGGAGAGCTGGGCAAAGAGCTGGAGGAGTTTGAAGGAGAAGCAGGAAACTGGACAAGCTGCAGCAGCTCCTTCTGTGTGTGTGTAGAAGCAGCTCTAGTGCAGCCACGAGTGAGGTGGGAAATGAACCTCAGGAGGCTGGGAATGAGTCCCACAAACAGGTTACAATAGAATAGACTCTTCCCAAGTGTCTGAAAAACTTTGCTGTAGTTGGGCTTTCTAAATTGCCAACTGCAGTGGTTGTTGAGGTGTTGGCCCTTGTTGTCCTGTGTCTTTGGTGAGGTGTTGAGTCAGTACCTTTTTGGAGCTGCTGTTGGATGTCCTGAATTGACCTGTAAGGTCCTGGTTTTCTTCCCTGTTTCTCCCAGCTTGTCCATGCAGGAGATGGAATTCCAGTGCTGCAGTAGAGATGGCTTGTGGTGCTCCTAAAAGGAGCCTTTCTGCCTTCAGGACAAGTTGTGGTGCCACTGGAGCTGTTGGGAGAAGTGGAGGGTTGGCAGTGCCAGGCCTGGAATGCTGTTGCTGTGGCACAGACGCTGCTCCCTGGCAGGTTCTTGGGTTGGATTCCTTGGCTGCCACTTGGCAAGGCCTGGAAGGGCCTCATTTGTGTAGGGAACAACACATGGAATGGGAAAGCAAAGTGGGGGAGGTTCTGTTTTCAGAGAACATCATTGAATTTTCTGTTCCTGCAGGGACACTGAGCTGGTCCAGCTGTGGCAAGAAGAGCAAGTGGGCTGTGAAGGTTTGGGGCAGTCTGGAAGGTTCCTCGTGCCCAAAGCATCCTGGCAAGTGCAGCCCTGGAAGAGTGAGGAATGATGAAAAGTGCCCCAGATCTGGTGCAGCTCAGCTTTGTAAGACGTGTCTCAAGAGCAGACAAAATCCTCCAGCAGTGAGCTTGGCAGAAAAGGCCCTGTGAAGCAAAGCAGCATGAAACCCCAGAGCTGCTTGTGGATGGTAGGTGAAACTTGGAGCCCTCCCAGGTAAAGGTGTCTGATCCCCACAATCCTCTTTGTGTCCTCTGCCAGCAGCTGCCCTTGGTCATTCTTGTGGTTTGCAGGTTGTGAAAAGAGCCTTGGGGATTGGCTTCTGGGAAGGGGGATCCGTTTCCTGATGGGAGTCCTTGAAATAGAAGTGAGTGTCTGTGGGAAATGAGGAGGCTGCAGGAGTGCTGGGGCTGGAGAGTGCACAGTGAGTATGGTTTGAGTGTCCTGATGTCCCTGACCCAATGCTGTGCTGTCACCAAGTCCTTTCATTGTGATTTAAATTGCCTTTAAAGGTGCTGGAAGTCCAAATTGAAGTAGGAAATGCTTGTGGAAAGCTTGGTGTTCCCAAGGGCAAGCTTTAGGGAGCATGGACAAGGGCAGACCCTGTAGGTATTCCCATGAAGCTGAGATCTCTGTGGGTAAGGCAAACCCAGGATCCTTTAAAATCCCAATACCAGAATGTGTTGGTTGCAGTAACAGCTAAATTTGCTCATTGTGGTTTGCTTCCAGAATGTGACTGCAAGAACCTGCAAAGAAACCCAGTGGCAAAGAGGATTGATCAGTGCAGGAGGTGAGAGAAGCACCTGGAATGACAACCTTGAGTAGTTGACAGTCTTAGATTTCAAGATGCCTTTTGCTGCATCTCCAGGAGCAAGGCAAGCCAAGAAACCTTTGCTTTTGAAGGAGAAAATCCAGAAATGGGAAGGAGGAAAAGAAGCCACCTGAGTCCTCCCTGAGCCACAGGCAGTCCATGAAGTGCCTTCCTGGGAATGGGAGGATGGTGAGGACTCTGCATTGCTCCCTCTGGATGTGTGGTAAGACTGATGCAAACTTTGGAAACCCCATGTAAGAGTTTTCTGCCTTGGATAGATGGTGCAAGGGCAGCCTTTAGGCAGCTCAGGCATTCCCTGAGGAGAGCTCTGGCTCTGCCACATCTCTCTGAACTGTTTGGGAGGGAAAACAAAGGACAAGGTGTGCAGTGAGCAGCCCTGACAAGGGACTTGGAATGACTGGCATCCCTCCCAGTGAACTTTCTGGGCTGTTGCCCCTGTAGAGCAGGTGATAGTCCCAGCTCCAACTGTGGGGAAAAAAGAGAGCCCCAAAAGCTGGCAATTCTCCTGGAGGCTCCTGGCAAACAGGGTTTGCTGAGTTAGCCCTGGCAGGAGGACAGTGATACCTTTTCAGTGCTAGTAGATGCTTTGAATAGGTGGCCATAAGTCTGTCTTTGTTGTACCAGGAGACCTTATCAAGCTCTCCATATTGCAGGGAATATTGACGTGAAAGGCAAAAATGGTCTTGCTAATTGTTTGCTGGCTTTAGGATGTGGCCTGCAGGAACTGCAGGAATTGACGGTGACGCCTCGGCCGATGGATTGGACGCCCCAGCCCGTGCGTTCCTGCCCAGCCCTTGGGTCCCTGTCAAGTGGTGGGACTGCCAGCCCCTGCAGGTGAAGTGGAAAGGGCCTTTGCAGGCCTTGTTGATCCCATTTCTAGCAGTTCAAGTGGCACAAAAGGCACCTTGGGCATCTTTCTCTTGGGTTAGGAAAGCTCCTTTGATTGGTCAGTAGAACAAAGTGGATCCTTTCAAGTTCTCCTGCGTGTTTGTCCCTCAGCCTGTGTTATGATTCAGGGCTGTAGCTGTTGTAGTCAGTCAGGAATCCAACTGTACTTTAAGTAATGAGTCTTTAGCCTAATGGCCAAGTGTCAGGAGAAAATGGGGGATACTGTCTGGTTTTTGAGGTGTAACAAGAGCTGATCCTTTTTGCAGGGGGCTGTGGCATGGAAACTGCAGAGAGCCGAGCCAGGGAATTGAAAGGGACTCACCCAGGGAGGTGAAGAAAGAAGGAAGAAGGGAAGTGAGGCAGCAGCCAAGCAGCCCCAAGTTCCTCTGTCAGCAGGTGAGTTGTCTTGAGGTTCCTCAGGCAGGCCCTTGGGACTTTGGGGACTCCAGCCAGAGAAGACCGTGGAAGCCCCTTGGAGAAACCCCTCAGAAACCCTACAGGGTAGGTGTGGATGGTAATAAGTGCTGGGGAATGTCCTGAATATAGAACTGGAATGCAGGGAATGAAAAAGGGCATCATTGCATGAGGGTTCAATTAGCTGCAATGGGGACACCTCTGTGCACTGTGGGAGCTGATGGCCAGGACACCCGACGGGCTGGGATGATTCAAGAGCATAGACATGAAAGAATGCCTGGCTTGTAAAAGTGCCCAGCTGAGTGTGAGAGGCTTCTTTGCCGAGCTGCTTTCAGGCAGCCAAATGGGCCCCAGCAGGGACTCTGTGCCTGCTGTCCCGTGGTTCCCAGGGATCTCTGGGCCTTCACGCCGGCACCGAGGTGTTCTCGGGAAGGCCCTCAGATCCCCGGAGCAGTGTGGGACACGGGCACGATCCCCCTGCCTTTTGGGAGCAGATTGGGCCCCTGGAGGGACAGTGCTGTTGGTGCCCCCCGGGCTGGGGCACCCCGAGGACTCGAGCGCGCACCCAAAGGATTCTTCGGGGAGCTCCTCGGGGTGCCCCGAGCTGGGGAGCTCCAAGCAAGGTCCCTGCAATGGATTGAGGCATTCCTGAGAGGTCAGAGGTGTAGCTGTCTGTCCTGGCCATGGAGCTCTGGAATGGGCTGTAATTGGGTTCTAAAAGTGGTGCTCTGACTGCAAAAGAAGTGTGGGATTGGGATTAAGGAGTGAGTGGTGATGGTACCATTGGGTGTTTTGTCTTGAGTGGAATTGTGAGAGCTGCAGGAGTGCAAGGTGTGGGTTCCAGTCCCCAGCATTTGGTTTGCACATGTGCTGGTAAGACACAGGTCTAACTTCCTCCACCCCTAACACAACAGTGGGAGAATTCAGGAATGGCACTGTGAGGGTTTTGGTGTGACAGGGGTTAAAGTGGGAAAACCTTGGGGAATTCCTCACTTGGTCTATTTGCCAAAATTACCCAAACCACTGCCAGGAAGAGATTGGGTGGAAAAGTGTAGGCAGGTATTAAATTGACCAATGGGGAGATGATTGAAATTGTAATTGCTGAAACTAACTGTGTGAGAGCAGCAGCTCTTCTCGTGCAGGAAATAACTCCTGTCAGCAGCACCGTCCCGACTGGAGTGGCAGATGGAGTTGTTCCTGTGGTGTGGGCCAGTGGAATTCCAGGAGAATGGACAAGGGCAGAACCTGTAGGTATTAGCCCTAAGCTTGGATCTGTATGGGTAAGACAACCCTAGTATCCTTTAATTATCAGCATGCCAGTATTAGATTTGAAGATGCCTTTTGCTGCATCTCCAGGAGCAAGGCAAGCCAAGAAACCTTTACTTTTTTTAAGGAGAAAATCCAGAGATGGGGAAGGAAGAAAAGAAGCCACCTGAGTCCTCCCTGAGCCACAGGCAGTCCATGAAGTGCCTTCCTGGGAATGGGAGGATGGTGAGGACTCTGCATTGCTCCCTCTGGATGTGTGGTAAGACTGATGCAAACTTTGGAAACCCCCTGTAAGAGTTTCCTGCCTTGGATAGATGGTGCAAGGGCAGCCTTTAGGCAGCTCAGGCCTTCCCTGAGGAGAGCTCTGGCTCTGCCACATCTCTCTGAACTGTTTGGGAGGGAAAACAAAGGACAAGGTGTGCAGTAAGCAGCCCTGACAAGGGACTTGGAGCAACTGGCATCCCTCCCAGTTAACTTTCTGGGCTGTTTCCCCTGCAGAGCAGGTGATAGTCCCAGCTCCAGCTGTGGGGAAAAAAGAGAGCCCCAAAAGCTGGAAATGCTCCTGGAGGCTCCTGGCAAACAGGGTTTGCTGAGTTAGCCCTGGCAGGAGGACAGTGATAGCTTTTCAGTGCTAGTAGATGCTTTGAATAGATGACCATAAGTCTGTCCTTGTTGCACCAGGAGGCCTTATCAAGCTCCCCATCTTGCAGGGAATATTGACATGAAAGGCAAAAAGTGATCTTGCATAATTGTTTGCTGGCTTTAGGATGTGCCCTGCAGGAACTCCAGGAATTGACGGTGACGCCTCGGCCGATGGATTGGACGCCCCAGCCCGTGCGTTCCTGCCCAGCCCTTGGGTCCCTGTCAAGTGGTGGGACTGCCAGCCCCTGCAGGTGAAGTGGAAAGGGCCTTTGCAGGCCTGGTTGATCCCATTTCTAGCAGTTCAAGTGGCACAAAAGGGACCTTGGGCATCTTATTCTTGGGTTAGGAAAGCTCCTTTGGATTGGTCAGCAGAACAAAGTGGATCCTTCCAAGTTCTCCTGCGTGTTTGTCCCTCAGCCTGTGTTAGGATTCAGGGCTGTAGCTGTTGCAGTCAGTCAGGAGTCCAACTGTGCTTTAAAGAAGGAGACTTTGGCCTACTGGCCAAGTGTCAGGAGAACAGGGGGGATGCTGTCTGGTTTTTGAGGTGTAACAAGAGCTGATCCTTTTTGCAGGGGGCTGTGGCATGGAAACTGCAGAGAGCCAAGCCAGAGGATTGAAAGGGACTCATCCAGGGAGGTGAAGAAAGAAGGAAGAAGGGAAGTGAGGCAGCAGCCAAGCAGCACCAAGTTCCTCTGTCAGCAGGTGAGTTGTCTTGAGGTTCCTAAGGCAGGCCCTTGGGACTTTGGGGACTCCAGACAGAGAAGACCGTGGAAGCTCCTTGGAGAAGCCTCTCAGAAACCTTACAAGGTAGGTGTGTATGGTAATAAGTGTTGGAGAATGCCCTGGATATAGAACTGGAATGCAGGGAATGGAAAAAGGCATCAGTACATGAGGGTTCAATCAGCTGCAATGGTCACCTCTGTGTGCACTGTGGGAGCTGATGGCCAGGACAGGCGCTGGGCTGGGATGATTGCAGGGTGTTGTCAGCAAGGAATGCCTGGCTTGTAAAAGTGCCCAGCTGAGTGTGAGAGGCTTCTTTGCCGAGCTGCTTTCAGGCAGCCAAATGGGCCCCAGCAGGGACTCTGTGCCTGCTGTCCCGTGGTTCCCAGGGATCTCTGGGCCTTCACGCCGGCACCGAGGTGTTCTCGGGAAGGCCCTCAGATCCCCGGAGCAGTGTGGGACACGGGCACGATCCCCCTGCCTTTTGGGAGCAGATTGGGCCCCTGGAGGGACAGTGCTGTTGGTGCCCCCCGGGCTGGGGCACCCCGAGGACTCGAGCGCGCACCCAAAGGATTCTTCGGGGAGCTCCTCTGGGTGCCCCAAGCTGGGGAGCTCCAAGCAAGGTCCCTGCAATGGATTGAGGCATTTCTGAGAGTATCAGAGGTGTAGCTGTCTGTCCTGGCCATGGAGCTCTGGAATGTGCTGTATTTGGGTTATCAAAGTGGTGCTCTCCAGCCTGTGAGAAGGAAATTCAGTGTGCTGTCCTGCATAGCTCTGATGTGTTGCTCCTGGTTGAGGACATTTTATTTCTTGGCAAGAGGATCAGATCTGTTCAGAGATGCTTTCTTATGAATGAGTCAGACCTCTGGGATTTGTAAAACATAAAATCCCCTGTAACTGGCTCTGTGCTGGCTGTCAGAACTTGTGGATCCTGGAGACTTTCTAACACTGTTTGCCTGAGTTGTTCTGTCAGCAAGTTCACCTTGGACACACATTGTCTT